CATTTATTGTATTATCAAAAATAACTACATTATTATTGATAATAATTTTAGCTCTATTCAATATGCAATCAGTTTCCCTGCAGTTTCTTAATGCGGATATATTACTTGGTTTAGTCTTTGATGTTTTTAAATCCAATGATCATTCATGTTCACTATGCAAATATATTTCTAGTACGTATGAAAATTATTCATGGTTCTAATTTAAACATATATTTTGTTAATAATCATTCTTATAATATTATAACCATAAGTAATAATATTCACTTGTAATAAATTTATTCTTACCTTAAATATGTATATATTTTAAATGACAACAAAGCATTCTGGCCAATTATTAAAATCATTTTCTTGTTAGTATTTTCGTCTGAACCTTCGCCTGTATCTTCGCCTATATTTTTACCTGAATCTTCGACTGCACTATAATCTGCAATCTCATATTTATTATTATTCTCATTTTCATCCCTGTTATTAACAGACTCAGCATTATCTGAATCCTTACTATCATCCTCATAAATTAAATGATCCTTACTTTCTAATAAACAATTAGAAATACCATATTTTTTAAATACCTGAATAATAATATCATGAGAGATATCATCCCACATATTTAACACCCAATGACATACTGTGTTTAAATCTGCATGCTTTAAATTTCCATCCTTAGTAAGACCATTACCACCATTTGCCATCCACCTATGTCAGTGTTGACAGCAATAGATGGATAGAACAATAGAATAAAGCAATAAAATTTAATATAGAATAAATAGAATAAGATTTTTATTAATAGAACAAAAAATTACCAACAAGATTATAATAAAATAATATAGCAATAAATAAATAGAACAAAAGAACAATAAAATAGAATAAAAATTAGAATAGAATAAGATTTTTGTCAATAGAACAAAAAATTGCCAGATTATAATTAGATATTAAATATAGCAATAAATAAATAGAACAAAAAAACAATAAATAGAGCAATAGAAATTAGAATAAAATATAATTTTCATTAATAGAACAAGAAATTGACAATACTAACCTATGCCACTGTTGACGAAGCTTATCTTTGAAAGGCTTATTTATATAGACGTTAAGAGGTTGATACATGCTAATAAGACCCCCGGGAATAACAGCTAGATCTGTATTACTTGAACACAATGCAGACTTAATTCGCTCTGAAATATGTGCTGAAAAAGAATCTAAGACAAGCATTGTTTTTAAATGAGGTCTCTCTGGTCACATTCTATTCCAATATTTTATCCATCATTCCATTCCTAACTCATTCATCCATCCTTTGTCTTGAAACCAAACAATTACACCAACTAGAAGAGGGGGCGTATTAGTAGGCCAAATCTTTCTTTTGAAAATAATGACTGGGGGAAGCTTAGTGCTATCAGCAAAACATATTAATACTATGGTAAATTGATTTTTGTTATTTTCTGTTGACTGAACATGAACTGTTTTCATGCCTCTTGGATTTACAGTCAAGTTACCTATCATATCAAACCAAACCAGTGTCTCATCCATATTTGCAATCATACCAAGAGGATAATTATTTTTCTGGTGAAGGCGAATAACAAACTGTTGAAACTTTAATAGCTTATTCTTGAGGTCATCAGGCAACTTTTGCACAATATTAGTCTTGTGGTGAAGAGAAAGGTCGTAATGTTTTAAAAAACGACCAAGCCAATGTTGTGAAAACTTAAAATTAGCAATTGCTAACTTCTCTGCCTCATCTTGAGCTAGTCTTGCACTTGATCTCATAATTTCAACCATTTTCGTTTTAATACTAGAATGATTAACTACGAAATCATCTTTACGAAGCTCCATTATTCATTCATAGAGTTGGGCTTCTTCTTTAGAAAACAATGCATGATGTTCAGAACCAACCCTTCGGGAACTCTTTTGAAGAGGAGGGTCTTGTGAAAATTGTTTAACCTACTGACCAACCATCGTTAAATCAAGAGAATAGCAGTGAGCAGCAAATTTATTTGAAGTATGATGTGCCAATTCTATAACTTTACTTTTTTCTTCGACTGTATAAGAGTTTTGTTGCCTTTTCATATTTATTATAGTAAGGCCACACAAATGAAATTAATTGGTTTTTGTAGTCCAAATGAGTTGTAAATTTTATGTAGAGTTTTTTTCCTTTTTTTTTTTTTTTTAAAAAAAAAAAAAACTATGAAATGAACCTTTCTTTAAATAACAAGCAACAAAATATTATAGAATTAATTAAATTACAGCTTATTATTACCATTATAAAAATTTTGATTATGCAAAATGCGAATTTTAAAGTTAAATTCTTCAACAGAATGTTGCATGATCAATTAAAGTTATAGCTTATTGTCATTGTTATGGAAATTTGACGAAATTTAAAGTTTAAGTAAGTTTAAACAAGTTTAAACAAAGTAACTTCTTGAGAAAAAAATAATTGTTACTCTCAAGGTTGCATACCATAGTAAATTACCAGTAAGTTACCACGATATGGTAAGTTATTGTAAAACATAAATAAAAATGCAAGTAATACCAGTAGCTTACTATTTTAGTAACTTACCACTAAAAATTATAAATTATGTACTATCCTTCAATTCCAACTTGCAGGTGTATTTTTTTGGTAAATTTAACTTGGTGTATGATTGCTGTTGAGATGTAGAACACTGACTATATATTATTTATATTATGCATAATAATAATAATAATGATAATGCTTATTAATTAAGGATCTAGGCATGCTTTTTAAGAATTTAACACATGAATGCTGCAAAATAAATATTTAAGTTTTTACTGCAGCAAACCTACGTAGCCCCTAAAGAATCAGCTATATATATTAGATATCAATATTTTATTGTTGTTAGAGAGTATATAATAAATTATGAATACCTGTAGATAACTCACTATACGCAGCAAAAACTCATTTAATCTTTAAAAGATAGTAAACATGAGGATCTTTAATGCTAAAGTTTGTATTCCCAAAATAAACTACTTCGTTAAACTAAATTACTTTTAAAAACTATAAATCCTGAAAATAAGCTATCCCTTGTGTTATATTTAAGTTATTTTAAAAGCTATAACTCCCGAAATAAGCTACTTACCATTTCTTGTATTCAAAATCTTCTAAAAAAAGGTAGCTTAATTTCAGGAAAATACAGTATTAGATAACTATAGCATGTTGCATAAAACTAGGCTATATGTGTGGAACATAAAGGTTTTAGTAAGTTTTCTATCAAGAATAAAGTAGTTTTAAGAGTAATAATAAGCATCGAGAACTTGGATGGGTGTAGCCTTGAGATGTTCTTGTAATACAAGGAGGATTGTATATACAGAGAGTTTAAATAGGCAAAACCTCTAGTCAGCTTGCAGGTATAGCAACTAGTATAGAACTTATATAGCAATGTATAAGCAGACTACTTAAATTAGGCACTAAAAGTGCATATGTGACTAGTTGTAACCTCCAATGTAAGAGAGCCCTTGGAGGCACCTATTTTCTAATAAAACTTAAATAAAATATCGCATCTTTAAGATAAAGACTTTAACTATAAAAAAATAAAAATAAAAAATAAAAACAATTAGTATTATAAAAGATTAAAAGATAGATTTTATAATAGAAATATTAAGTAGATAGTTCATTAAGAAGTATTTTAATTTTAAATAATTTGAATTAGTTAAGTTTAAAATTAGTAAAGTTGTAGATAAATTTGTGATTATGATTAAAATATAGCCAAATTGAATTTTAGTTAATATGGTAAGCTAATAGAGTTTATTTATTATTTCATTTTTGTAATAACTATAGTGCAAGGTTATAAGCTTTACAGATACTTTGTTAAAAGTATCTGATAGGAAGTTTAACAAGAAATATTTCTGTTTCAAAGAATAATAAATAATATAGATTGTAAATATTTATATAATTAAAGCATAATAAAGGTTTATTTATCTGCTAGGTTGTTGAGAGTATTATCTGAATGGACTTGAACTTTATGAAAAATAATATTGTTTTTTTTTTTATTTTTTGACTAGTCTTGCTAAGATCTTTCAGCAGTCCTCGCATTTTTTGAACTAATGTTCTCAATATACTTCAGGATCTGAACTTTGACCTCTCCCGGTTTGTACTTTTAAACTTTTCAGAAGTGACCATCACACCAATCTCTGTCAGTATCAGAAGTCTTTACTAAGCTCTATCAAGAATTGGCTATCATCATGAGTTTATATAATATCTCTTATTGTCAAACTTTCAGCCTTACATTATGTCTTATGACTTCAGTTATTCCAAATTAGGTTCTAACTCATGTTCATCACTGGGTGGCTTCTTAATTGCAGATCACTTGCCTTTTCTAGAAATAAGTCTATTTAATAGCATTCTAGGTCTCTGATATCATAGTGTTGCAATTCTCTATTTAGAAATGCATCTCTACAATTGCTGTCACTAGGATTTGAATCAGCAACTTTGTAATTTATAACCTTGGAGTATAACCACTATGCTATTGACTTTAGAGGTCAAAAATAATATTTAATTTGTATGATTTAATAATATTTAGTAAGATATATAATAATAGTTAGGAGTTAAATTTAAAAAGTTTATTAAAATTTAAAGAAAACTAATTAAATTGAATAAATTATGATATTATAAATTGGGAGCTTATATAGATGTTAATTGTAGAATTTTAGAAAATAGTTGAAATAACAAACAGAATAGAGAAGAGTTTAGCTTTGTAAGAGAATGACCAAAGATAAATATTGGCAATAAATTTGTAAATAACTTGGTCATTAAGATCTATTTAAACCTAACTGATATCTATAATACAGTTATTTGTACTTATACTAATTACAAAACTATCAGTATAAAAGTTAAATAAGTTATATAGTAGGTTATTGAAAGATATTTAATTAAGTTCATTAGTTGCTTTATTTGCTTTAAAAATTGCAGATAAGATGAAGTTAAAGATAGGAATAAAAGGCAATAATAGTAATAAAAGGTTTGGCAAAGGTTATTTAATTGCAGCAAAGCTAAAAAGATCTAGATAGTTTGTATTTATTTTAACTAAGTTTGAAATAATTCTATCAAAAAATTAGGCTAATATAATAAATAAAGTATTAATAATATATAATATAGTTATTTATTATAAATTAAGTTGACAGTTTAGACAAGAAACAAGATTAATCTATTGGAATAAGTAGTATTTAGTATTGTTTATATTAATATTTATTTGCCAATATGTAATTAATATTTGGTTAAAATCTGTAAGATGTTTACAAATTTTGTCTATAATAATTTTCTTATTATTAAAAGTAATTAGTTATGATTTATGTTTTTTTGAAAATATTGTATATATTATATACAAAGAGATTAGTTTTTTGCTATTAGTATTGAAGTTTGAAAAAACAGCAATAATAATTTTTTATAATAATATTTTTAAATTTAGTAAACCAGATTGGTTTTTTATCTTTAGGCAAATAAAAAATTCTTGGTAATAAATATAGCTATTCAAAAAGTGTAGTATCATCTGAGATGCAAAATTGTTTAAGATAAAGTAGATTTAGACATTTAGTTAGTTTTTAAAGGTTGTATATTTGAGATAGTGTTAAAGAATAAGTTCAAGAGATTGAAGCTGAT